CATACGGCTTCATGGGAGCCTCACGACCACCCTCTGTACTGGCCCCACTTCTCAGAGGACAAACCTGAGGCTCGGAGAAGCCAGGAGGCTTATCTGGGCCATGGACAGGTTGAGAAGCCCTTATCCGAAATGCTTGGGACCGCAGGTATTACAGAGGTCTAATTCTTGTGGATTTTGGCATATTCGCTTATACATACTGAGATGTCTCGGGGGATGCGAACCCAGTCTAAACATGAAATTCATATCCACCTGACCCACAGACCCAAGGTAACTTTTTACAATAGTCTCGGACTGGAGCATTTCGACTGTGCCCCATCACATGAGGTCCGGTGTCCAATTTCTCACTTACCGAATTTTCATGTCAGTGCTCAAAAAGTTTTGAATTTTGGAGCATTTCAGATTTTGGATTTTCAGATCAGGGGTGTCCAACCCGTATCAAGCATCTCACTTAAACAATCTGGATTACAGCCTAGCTCTTCAGTCACCCAGGCCAAAGATCTTTCTTTTCTTTAAGAAGACATTAATTGCTTTTAAAGAATATTACATTAGAAATACATGAAAATGTTGGGCTATTTATTTTTAATTTTTAATTTAATTTATTTATTTTTAGAGATTTTTTTTTTTGAGAGGTTTTTGCTATAGGGTGTGTACGCTTTCCAGACAGACAGAGAGAGACAGAGAGACAGAAAACAAGAAATCACCCCCCAGGGCGGATGACCACGCTGCAATCCCTTCTCTTCCATTCTCCTCTCGGGATCTTGGGCACGCACACACACGCGCCCAGCGTGAGTTTAAGCCACTGGGTCCGGGACTCGAACTGCGGTTGACTATGTGGGAATCCAGCGACATAGCCATTACGCTAACTGCTGGCCCCTTTAGAGATATTTTTACAATCGGGCATGTGTGCTCACCGGAAAGACAGAGAGAGACAGAGAGACAGAAAGCAAGAAATCACCCCACCGGGGGGATGGCCATGCCACAAAACCACCTTCTCTGTTCTCCTCTTGGGATTTGGGGCATGCATGCACACACGCCTGGCATGAGTTTTAAGTCACCAGGTCCAAGATTCAAACAGTAGTCGACTACATGGGAGTCCAGTGCTGGTCTCAGCACTGGGCTATTTAAATGGCAAACTTCAAAATTTCATTCTACCTCTTTCAACCCCCACCTGCTGTCACCCCTCCCAAGGTTAAACCTCTTTCAAGAGTTAGCTGGGCACCGTGCAGGCCCTCACTCTGCATTTATGTGCATGCACACATACATGATGTACACATACACACATACATGTATGTACAGAATATAACAGGCCTTGTCCTAGATGGCTGTGGGGTGACTTGCTCTCACTTCATGCTGTTCCTACCAGTACAGAAGGAGCCCTCTCCCTTTGGAAGGGCACTTTGTGATCAGCAAGGGTGGCTATTTCCTTCCCAGCATCCCCGGAGCTCTTCCCACTGCTCACACCACCCCGTTGACACTCCCCAGGTCAGAGCCTGGGTAGTCCAGGTGCCAGGTGACCAAAGCAGCACCTCTGTAAGGCAGCATCTCCCACTGATGGCACCTGAAAGGACCGAGGGCAGGACCCTGCCTGAATACATATCTGTGGAATGCATTCAAGGCAGGCCTTAGACACACACACATCTTTTTTCATTTTAGAGATTATTAATTTAATGTGTGAGTGTCAGGGGATCTAAGAACATCAAACCAGTGAGTCAAGGATATTTTTAAATTTCCTCTGACATAAGTTTATTTAAGCTTAATAAAATGAGCCTATTTAAAGAGAAATATTAAGTAAATAATAGCACAGGTGGAGGATGGATATGGCCAGAATCCCAAGTGTGAAAGCGCCCGAGTGAGGTTTGGGAACCGCAGCGGCGGGTGAGGGCCCTGGCCTTGCCAGCAGGGGCCTAGAGCCTGGTTTTCCAGGCCACTGCTCAGGGACTCAGGAGGGCGGGAGGAGGAGAAGGAATCGGGCCTGCTGGATGTCAGATGCTTTGAGCACTGGCTACAGGGCTGTGAAAGGAAAGGCATGTATGTTCCCCTCTTACAGTCTGTGTGCTCTGACCAAGGAAAGAGCAGCTTAGGCCAGGGGACAGAGCTGCCAGGGCAGGCTGACAGCAGTTTGTGATGACAACCAACCGTGGCAGGCAAGAACAAAGACTTCTTGGGGTTGGCTCCTCCATGGGCAATCAAAGGACTGGACCCACTCATCAGGGGTCTCACTTCATCTGAAGGCACTGGGGAGCCATTGAGAGATTTTTCATCATAAGAGAGACATGATAACAGCACCTTTAAGAACACCAGAAATATATTGGGACCAGCAGTTAACATAATGGCTATGTCGCTGGACTCCCACATAGCCAAACGCAGTTCACGTCCTGGACCCGGTGGTTTAAAACTTACGCTGGGCGCATGTGCATGCGTGCCCAAAATCCCGAGAGGAGAACGGAGGAGAAGGGATTGTGGCGTGGCCATCCCCCCTGGGGGGTGATTTCTCGCTTTCTGTCTCTCTGTCTCTCTGTCCGTCTGGTGAGCGCACGTGCCCTATAGCAAAAACCTCTCCAAAATAATAGAGTACCTGAAATATAAATTTGGGGGCGCACCCCCAAATGAAGGAACTGCAGCTGTTTTGACAATTTACAGTGGCCTTCCACCAAAAGCAATGATGCTGTCTAGTAACAGGCTTAAACTGGAAAAGGGTCTTGGGTAAATCTGAAGACTTGCTTGGTCACACATGAATAAGTCAGACATCGTAGACCTTGGAGACCTCCCGGGAGAGACCCAGAAACCACTGGTTCCGTGGCTGACAAAAGCCCAGGCAGCTACCAGTGCCCGTCCCATTTCTGATGGCAATGAGAGAAACCCACACGGCCTTGGGAGTTTGCAGCTGGGGACTTCAAGGCCACCCCATCTACACACCTGATCCTCCTTCCTCCCCACCTAGTTTCCCTCTGACGCAGTTGAGAGAAGACAGTCAGAACTTTGGGATTATTGCTTTTAAAAGACTGAGGCCAAATACTTACCTCCAGGACAATCTCAACCATGTTTGGAAAGAGATATTACAGAAAGAACACGTAAAAACATTTATGAAGAGTAGTTCTCTCTGAATGGAGGAAAATCAATGGTTTTCTTTTCCTTCAAGAGCAGAGAGGAGAAATGCCACTAAATTGAGACCTCATAACAGCCGTATGCCCCTGAATTAGCTGAGCTCGGTCCCATGATAAATCTCTCAAGACAATGGCACTAATGCCAAGGGTGGCTGAGCCCGTGCCGGTGTCAAGGTGAAAGAGAGCTCCATCTTGATCCTTCACAGAATACCAAGCCAAGGCGGAAGTCCACACAAACGGGCTTTTTAGAAAAGGCGAGTGGGCCTGGAGCAGGGCCCAGCTTTTATTGATAAAAGGCTCGGTCCTGCCCCGTTCTGCTGAAATATGCAGTCAGGCCCGTCCAACGCAAGCACAGCCGCCGGCTGCCCCGGCCGCAGAGCACTGGCCCCACGCCGGGCTCCCTGCCGCCTGGGGAGCTGCTCAGCACCCACGTGGGACTCTGGCTCCTTCCCCTGCCATGTTTCCATGGTGGCTCTGCGCTGACACAGCCCTGACTTCACCTGCCAGAGGGCTCGGAGGTTGACTCCTCTCTCCACAGAGGAAAGGGGGTTGCTCTGTCTGCAAACACTCAGACTCGAAAGCACCTCTTCACTGCTGACATTCCAAGGATGAGATCGGGTGCAGCCAACTGAGCCCACACCTGGGAGCTGGCTAACCGGCTCTGGCTGGGCTTCCCAACCCCAGCGTGACTGCCATTGGGAGCTGGATGCTTCGTGGTGAGGGCCAGCTGTGCATCGGACAATGTTTATTAGCACCCCTGCCTCTGCCCACTAGGTGCCAGTTGCATCCCTGAGTTGTTACACCCGAAAATGTCACCAGACATTGCCAAATGTCCCCGGAGGCAGGGGTGGAGCAAATCATCCCCTTCTGGGACCTGCTGCTCTAGAGGAAGGAATGGAGAGAGACAGGGCAGAGGCCATGTCTGTCCCCTTCATCACTAAGTCTTGGCATTTCTGGGTCTGGCACATGATGAACACTCAAAACATACTTGCTAAATGAATAAAAGGATGATGTCCTGTAACACTCCCCTGACCAGCAATCTTCGACTCATACATTGAAGCATAGATCAAATATCACCTCCTCTAGGAAGCCTTCCTTGACTTTTCCCAGTATAAACAATTGTACTGTCTACCCCAAAACACTTGGGTTATCCTTTTATTGTAACGTGTGCCACAATATATACTATTTGGTTGTATTCTGGTCCCCACCACATGAACGTAAGCTCTTTGAAGACAAGAATTGTCACGTATTATTGCCCTTACTCCTACTAGTACTCCACATAGTGTAGGTATTCAATAAATGCTTGTTGATAACAAGGTCTCCTTTCTAAATCCTAGCCATCAAAGTTCAACCACATTGTAGTTCAAGTGCCCTGGCACAACCCAGAACCAAGAGCTGTTTTCAGCATCAATTACCTGGTCCTTTAACCAAGGGAAGAACACCTGTCCTGCCCTGTGATGGTGAACCTGACCTGGCTGACTGAGTGGCAGGAAAGACAATGTGCTTAGGTATGCTTGGCCATCATCCCCACTGCCCCAGGGCTGTGAGGCCCCCAAGCACCTTCAGGAGGCTTCTCCAGGGCCCCACCCACTCTTCCCTACCCATAGCCACAGCTCTGGCTCAGAGCCCTAGTACAAAATGGGTTCTGTGCTTGGGGAAAACTATAGGGACTTCTGGGTATTGACAGATGTTTCTGGCACTGCTCCAGTCTCCGGGGAAAGGAATGTGTCTGTGGACTCCTCTGGACAGAGTGGACCCAACACCCAGCATGCATAGAATACTGAAGCTTCATGCCTCCTCCTGCTCACCCGAGCTCCTGGGCCCTGGGAGAGAAGGCAGGCCCCAGAGTGCCTGCAGAGGCTGCTCCCAGCCTGGTCTGCAGGTTTTGCTGCCTACCTGGCCGAAGGTCGGGGCGAGGGTACTCTCTGGAGAAGGCCTGTCCTGGGCTGAGCCCCCCTGCCGACTGCAGTCCAGCTGGATCAGGCTGCGGCACTGAGGGTGGCAGGTGAATTTACAGTCTGCAGGGAAAGAACCAAAGCAGGGTTAGGGCCCAGGCAGCATCCCCATCACGTCCACCAGAGAAATACCTGGGAGACTGAGTTCAGCTCTGATGAGATGAGCACAGCAGGAGGGAAGTGGAGGAGTGAGAAGGCGCCTGCACTCCCAGCGGGGCACCGGCAATGCCGGGTAAGTGCCCTACACATTTGCAAACCGCTTCCATCTGCATTATTTGTGTGACCTGCAGTCGCTATTAGTGCCGCTTAACAGACCAGAAATTGGGGCAGCTACGGACTGGTAGGCTTCCTGCTAATGTATATTATTCTGGGGGCATTTGGCCAGTCTGTAAAATGCAGGTAATGGCTACCTTGCTGCTGCACAAAGGTGTTCATGGTTTAGGGAAGGACGTGCCTTAGAGAATTCAAAATGCTTCAGAGGGCCAGCTCGGGCCCAGTCCTAAGGTGCTGTGAGGCTGGATGGACACAGGAGGTCGTGGATTCAGTTCCAGGGCGACCTAGCCGCTGCAGGTGTGCGTGATCCTGTGGCTAGAAAGCTGCTGGGGTGGGGCGGGTGTGGCATGAGACCCTGCTGAGGGCACTTGTCATCCTTTCTGTCACTCATTCTTGTGGAAAAAGAAGAAAGAAACTCAAATACAGGACGCTTCAGAGACAAAGGCATCAGCAGCAGCAGGAAGGGCTCTTTCCTCGCCCGACCCTGCCCAGGATGGGGTCTGGGGGTAACGAACGACTCTCACCCAGCTGACACAGACGGCATCCCAAAGCAGGTGCTTCTGCGGAAAGCACACATTGCAGGGACGATGTTCGCTGCGACGTAAGCAGACAATGACCAGAGTTGGAAGGTGCATTGGGCACGACCTTGGAGATAAGGAAACAGAGGCCCAGAGAGGAAAGTGCGGTGCCCAGCGGCAGTAGCTCATGGGTGGTGGCCCAAGGCTGCTAATATTCCCCAGGTTTCTCAAGGGCTCTCTCTGGAGCCTCCTTGGCAGGAAAGAGAAGTCTCAGGAGGCGGGAGGGGTGAAGACTCAACCGATGGGGGTGGGGTAGGGAGTGGGGTGAAGGAAAGGGGGGCAGTGAAAGCCCTCAGGATGTGTCCAGCAGCAGTCGGCGAAGTGCTGGACCCGGCCACCCACGACAGCTGCTGGGTCAGCGGTCCCCCACTCTGGAGGTGCCACAGTGCAGCCAGGAGGCCCAGCCTTCCAGAGCCCACGTCTTCCGTGAGTTTTCCCTCCTGACAGCAAAGGCAGGTACATCGGGAAGGGCTGGGGCAGGTGGCCTTTGTGGCAGGGGACAGGACAGCCTGGACGTGCTGGGATAACCTGGGGGTCAAGGACCACTGGGACCAAGCAGTGCTCAGACACTCCGAGACTCTCTTCTTTCCTTCTAACAAGCTCCAAAACCTCAGCGCATTGGGTCTCTTTTTTCTTTTTGTTTAGGTTTTTGCCATATGGCACGTGCGCTCACTGGAGACAGAGAGGGAAAGTGAGAAATCGCCCCCCAGGGGAATGGCCCTGCCTCAATCCCTTCTCCTTCCTACTTCTCTTGGGATTTTGGGCACACACAAACACATGCTCAGCATGATTTTTAAGCCACCAGGTCCTGGACTTGAACCAAGGCGTTGGCCATGTGGGTACCTTAACCACCATGCCACCTACTGGCCCCTTGTCTCCTTTTTTCAAAGCTGCCACAGCGCACTTGACCTTGGGTTTTGGGGTGGCCGATCCTCTTTTCTCCACTCTTGTCTCTTTTCAAGTTTATTTCATGGTGGCAGGGGGGCTGATAGGGTCTTGTCCTGCCACAGTCCTCCCAAGCCCTCCAGCTAGCCGGGTGTGCTCAGGTTGACCCGGATACAAACCCCAGGCTTTCCCACCTGCTTCCTGCTCCCTGTGCCACCACGGCTGGGCTTCACTCTTTTGGGACGCTTTGGAATGAGTTGCCCCCAGCCACCCATTCCCTTACACCCCCAAGCATGAGTGCCCGGGCAGTCCTCCTCGTACGGGTTTTACCTCCAACGTCTACAGGGGTGCACCCTGGCAAACGTGGGCACACACAGGCATTCTGGAGGTCTACAACCTTACGCCATGGTCCAAAGTTCTGGCCACCTTTCCAGGATGGCAGGTAGGAGCTCTACCTCCAGGCCCGAAGGTGAGGCCCCCCCAGCATCCCCCTCCTTCAGACCCCACACTCCTCTGGGCCTTTCTGATCCCCCCAGGAGGCCCCCCCTCTCACCTGGAGACAGAACGGGTGCAGCTAATCCTGAGGCACACTATCTCCCTGGAGATGCCCACGTACGTTTCTGGACCACCACTCCCCCCCGCCCCCCGCCCCAGGAGCAGCTCCTGCTCGGTGCCACAGTAGCCTCCCCTTGGTGGAGTGAGGGTCCAGAGGGATGTGCAGGCCAAGTCTCCCTGCCCACAGTGCCCACAGGCCCTGGGGCTTTGAGAAGGCTGCACTGAGGCCAAGACCCACAAAGAGCAGCATTGTTCCCGGGCTCTGGCCCAGACACACCTGTGTGGCTCTGGTAATGCTCTGAGCGATGAAGAATGCCCGGGCAGATGCCAAGAATGGGAAACGAGGGAGAGAGGGAAGGACTGGAGGCTCTCCCGGGTCTTCGGGAGGGAAACCTGCCTATGCTAGAGAGAGGAAAGCATCGTGGGAGAGGAGGGATGGACAGGGCATCTGCAGCTCGCTCTCTCTTCAACCCACACACCCTAAAAACAGTACCAGAACCTCAGAGTTCCTTTTACAGGGCTGACGCTGAGCTGGACAGAGCTAAGAGCAGCAGATTCCAAGAGGAGCGTTTCGGGTTTACAGAAAGCATGTGTGAGCCCTAATGACTTCGTTCCATCAGACCGGGTAATCACAGGCCATAGCAAAACCACTGGAGCATGTCTTCATGCCGCCTGGCCCCTGGAAAAGCCAAGCCCGGGGCTTTGGGGCCAGCAGAGATGAAGTCAGAACCCCCATGCCCTCCTCCCGAACATAGAGGCCACAGCCTGAGGCCTGATAAGTCTGGTGAGCAGGCAACCTGGGAGAGCCCCAAGACGGGGCCACGTTCCACTCAGACTCAGTGGTCAAACCCCTGCACATCATCTTTTCCTCAAGGCAGCTTGTCATGAGGTGCTGCCAAACCAAGCCCTGTCCTGGGTATCCCATCAGCCTCTGGGCACTTAGCTTGTACTCGATGTGGACAAATTAAGTAAAGAAAGAGGGACCCTGGGTGGGGCAGGGCCACACGGGCCCCAGGACAGCTCACTCAGCCTTCCCTGGATGGCCAGCTCCTTCATCTCTGGTGGCAGCAACACGTCTTGTGTGTGGGCTTCCAGGTGGGCTGAGGGTGAGGATGCACAGGGCATGACCCCTGGGCAGCCCAGGCTAGCTGGCAGCTGGGACGCACACATGAAGACACTGGGTGAGACAGCCCAAAGCAGGACCAACTTCCAGGTCTCAGAAGCTTGTTCAGTTAGAGACCTCTGCCAGTCAGAGCAGTGAGGGAAGGCTTCAGGGTGCAGGAGACTCCGGGGAGCTAGACCAGGGCTCAGACTTCGGGTAGCTCATGCACACTCATCACAGGGGCCAAGGGGAGGCAGCAAGTTGAAAGAGGGAGGTGCTGATGTCACTGAGAGAGGGGACAACGATCTCACCAACAGAGGCAGCAAGGATTAGAGAGCAATGTCCCAGCTTCTACTGTCGTTTCTAGAGAAAACTGGCATCTCTTTAGTACTGTCAACTGTAAAACCAAATTATCCCATTCCCTTTTCTATTCATTCCTTCCAACTCTGTCCCCACACCCAGGCAATATTTTGAGGAAAGTAAATGTCCAAGTTTTGGAGGAAGGGACTCTGGGAACACAAGGGGCTAACTGTAGGGACGAATGATGGAGACAAACTACAATACGGACCCCTTTCCCAGAGGAACCCTGAGCCAGCATGGAAGTAGCCAGGGCCATCTGCCTACATCCCCCAGGCTGTATCTGTTAGCCAGAGCTGAGTAACAAAGTACCATAAGACACAAATTGATCATCTTATGGTTCTGGAGGCTAGAAGTCCACAATCAAGTTGTCAGCTAGGCCTCGCTCTCTCTGAAACATGCACGGTTCCTTCCTTGCCTCTTCCTAGCTTCTGAGGACTCACAGCAATCTCTGGCGTTCCTAGGGTGGCAGCTGCATTTCCTGTGTGCCTCTGTCTTCATGTGGCTGTCTTCTTATGAGAGTACCAGTCGTAATCATTAGGGGACCACCTTAGGCCAGCATGACGGCTTAACTAATTACACCTCAACTCTCCTATTTCCAGATAAGGTAGCCTTCTGAGGCACTGGGGGTTAGAGCTTCGACATATCGTTTGTTTTTGATGGGGAGGGAGTACATTTCAATCCACAATGCAGACCCTGGGCCACAGTAGAAGGTCGCCAGTAGATACCATCTCCAGAGACCAGCAGGACTGGCTAGCCAGGCAAGGTAGGACCACCTGCCACCTCCACCGGCCCGCTTCTGGCTTGAACATGGTAGTCAGTCCAGAGGTCATGGCAACTGTGCCGGGAGTTGGCATTACTTCTTCCACGTCAGCCCAGAGGAAGTAAAGCTAGCAGGTGTGGAACTACGTGCTAGGAGATTGTTTTTCCAAAATGCAGACGCTACAAACCTCCCCTTAACCCTCTGGACTGCTAGAGTTAGTTTCTGCCCCACCTCAGTTGCCAAATACACACACACACACACACACACACACACACACACACACAGCCACGCAGCAGCTAAACCTGAGCGGCTAATTTTCCCAAACCAGAGGCATTCCATTGATAAGAAGCTGCAAGGCCCTTTCACCCCTGTGTGGCAGGCAAGAAACCGAGATAACATAGACAACACTTCACTCTCCCCTCCTCCAGCACCGGCCAGGGGATGGGGTGAGGGTTGGGGCAGGACTGAGGACACAGAGCCTGGTTCATGGCGAGCCCACTCCCAGGTCAGCAAACAGCAGCTTCTCACACTGCGTGGACACAAAGCCTTT